CCACCAACCAACCAGCCAACCAACCAACCAACCAACCAATTAACCGACTTATCAACTAACCAGCCTACCAATCAACCTACCAACCAACCAGCCAACCAATCAACCAACCAGCCAACCAACTTACTAACAAAACCAGCCAACCAATCAACCAGCCAACCAATCCCAAAATCCAAAAATTAATAAAATCAAATCAGTCGAACCTCTCTCTCCTTGAAAATTTCAAACGCCTGCTCCAACTCCTCTCTACTGCCTCGCTCGTTCGGCGGCAGTCCCGCCAACAAGTCCAGCAACTCCGAGAACAACAACCTCCTATTACCTAATTGATCATTCATTCATTCATTCATTCATTCATTCATTCATTCATTCATTCATTCATTCATTCAGTCATTCATTCAGTCATTCAAACATAAGATCAGAACATCATTCAGTAAATGAGATACCCCGGCCCAATCACATCACATGCAGGTCGAAAAATCATGCTCTTAATCATTGATTTGAAATTAACTCAAGTACTGATTCGAAGATTCAAAATTATCTGTCTATTTTTTTGGGGTTATAAAGTTTTTCGTTCTTGTTAGTTACTTTACTGTTTCCCTCCCGCCATAAACATTTTCATTATCATCGTAATTTTTTAATGACGTCATCATATTTTCATTCATTCATTTATTCATTCGTTCATTCATTCATTCGTTCATTCATTCATTCGTTCATTCATTCATTCATTCATTCTGTTTCTTCCATCTTTCTCGTCTCATTCTACAGCTAAATAAACATTTTTATGGAATACTTTATACCCAAGATTTACTCTCATTTTGTTATCCATATCTCTCTGTAATGTTCGCCACTAAGATGGCCACGCTGCTGATAGCACAGCAGCTGAAGCTGATGTCTTAGAAGCTAATTTAATGTATTTTTCTCACATTTTACCACATGTATATATCTATTCTCATGGAGTATCATTTGATATATCATCATTTCTGGTTAATCAATTATCTATCATCATCATCGTTTTTATATCATCACTCACTCACTCACTCACTCACTCACTCACTCACTCACTCACTCACTCACTCACTCACTCACTCACTCACTCACTCACTCACTCACTCACTCACTCACTCACTCACTCACTCACTCACTCACTCAGTCACTCACTCACTCGCTCGCTCGCTCGCTCACTCACTCACTCACTGACCATCAGCATCTACTTCGTCGATAATTTCCTGAACTTCTTCTTCGGATGGAATCTGGCCAAACGCTCTGATGATCAAACCCATGTGGTCTATGGACATCTCATCATTTTCTAATTTGACATCATCATGATGAGGATGATGATGATGACGACGATGAAGATGATGACTATTGTAATGGGATAAAAGTGATGAGTGCAATGGTGAAAATTTTGAATACAACTCTGTTGACAAACATGATGAGTGATATATGCTATCATCATCATCATTTCATCACAGCTATCATCATCACATCTCATCATAGTTAATATTATAACAGTATCATATCACAACACATCTCAACCATCATCACAAGATAGTATCGTAATGATATAGTATCATAACACAGCTCAACCATCATCACATGGTAGTATCAAAATAGTATCAAATCATAACACGTCTCAACCATCATCACACGTTAATATCATAATAGTATCATATTATAACACATCTCAACCATCATCACATGATACCATCATTATAGTATCATATCATCGTCACATCTCAACCACCACCACATGATAGTATCCTAATGATATAATATCATAACCGACTAATACCGTTATGTTCGATGTCAAATACATCAAATATCTCTCTGACTCGCTTCACGTATTCGGGTGTCAATTTCTGTCCAGCCATCACTGATTTTGCCTCTAGCTACAAGACCCTTGCTAAATAACTTAACATAATTCAAGATTTAATAGAAATGTAACTTATTCGTTATTATAAATATATTTATTCATGAAAATATAATATAATTTATTATTTCTTATGATAATTATTATTAATATTTAAATTATTTATTGCCTACCCTATCTTATCTTATTTAAATGCCAAACCTAAATGATTAATCAAGAAATTGTAGAATGGACATGAAGCAGTTAGTTATATATTTAATTATATATTGAATAATAAAATAAATAAATTTATTTTTAGTTTTAAATTAAACATAAAAAATGATTTATTTATGAAAGCTTAGATTTCTAACCAACAAAACTCATCAACCTAATTCGGTGAACTGGAAAAACGAGTTTCACCAACTAAGTTATAAATTGTATAATTAAAAAAGTGTTTTAATTTAATTAATTGCTGATGTAAAAATTGACCGTACGGCTTTTCAAACAATATTTTTTCTACGATTTTTAAAACATGCAATGACTGAAAAAACTTTTGAGATTTTTTTATGAAATTATAATCAGAAAAAGTTACCTTGAGGCTTTCGAGCTAAGCGCCAACCAACGATGCCATTGTTTACAATTCAAAAACGTATACGACGTCATAGTAACGGGCAGTGCTGGGTAGGATTTGAATTAAAATGATTCAAAATCCGACCGACCAACCAACCGAACAAACCTACCAGCCAAACAACCAATCAATCAATCAACCAACCAACCAACCAGCCAACCGGTCAACTAAAACAATTTATTAATAAATAAATAAATAAGTAAATAAATAAATAAATTTCCATACATTCATTTCCCCATTCAACCAACCGACCAATCAGATCAAGGGTAGCATCTTCGCCACGTACAACCTCGGCAACAAAGAACTGAAAATCGGCCAGCCCACTCACACGGTCAATGATGACCTCTACCACAGGGTCAGCTTCATGAGGAGGGGGCAGAATAGCACCATCAGTGTCGATCAGGTGGTCTTCCAGAGTTACCATCCTACCGGCCAGAACAACGTGGTCTTCAACGACCAAAGTGAGATTCAGGTAGGTGCCCTGATAGATGGCGAAGGAAACCTTAACCACCCTTTCTACGGGACGCTTGTTGGTTGGTCAATATGATTCATTAATTTATTCATATATTCAGTGTGTATATACTCAGCGGTATAGCGTAGTGGTAGAGTGCCTGTCCTATTAGTTGATGCGACTGCTTTCAAATACAAAGAGATTCTGTCACAATTATTTAATGCTTAGTTTCGGCACGCTCAATTTTGTGAAAAATTTATATCACATTAATTATATCATAAACAAACACACACACACATACACACAAACACACACACACACTTATTAGACTAACACACACACACAAACACACCTATTAAATATTTGCAGAGTTGTAAAAAACGAACATTAAATCATCCAGGTTTAGTTATCAACGGCATTCGGATCCTGGACCTGGCAGCTGACGGGGACCTCAGGGTTTCCCTAAGGGGTAGTATCGAACTGGACACGAAACCCTTAAAGTTGTATCAAGGGTTGGTTCAGTATACGTGTTTATCGTCGCTTTGAATCTGTACGTTTGTGTTGTTGTGTATGTTTGTGTGTATGTTTGTGTGTATGTGTGTTGTTGCGTAGGTTTGTGTGGATGTTTGTGTGTGTGTATGTGTATATGTGTTGTTGCGTATGTTTTTGTGGATGTTTGTGTGTATGTGTGTATTTGTGTTGTTGCGTAAGTTCGTGTGTATGTGTATGCTTGTGTGTATGTGTGTGTTTGTGTTGTTGTGTGGTGGGTTGTTATTCTGTTGCGGGCAGTTTATCTCAAACGAATA